ATAAAAAAGCGATTCAGAAACACTTTAGGGCCAATCACAGCGAAAGAAAATGAAAATAGAAAAATAAATTATTCATGGAAAAGTTAAATATGCGCTAAGTTCGCCTTTAGAGCTCTCACTTTCAGCGCGAGCGATTCTCTCTCTCTCTCTCTCTCTCTATCTCTCTCATTTTATTTATTAATGCAATCACTTAATCATTGAAGAGAGCCAAACGTAACCCATGAGGATTTGCATTAGCATTTGCAGTTGAAAATTAAAAATTAAAAACCCTGCTCACACCCACTAAACGCGGCGACAGGAAACCGCACGGACAGAAAACACTCTTTCCTACTTACACACAGAAAGAGGAATATAATAAAAAAAAAAAAAAAACATATGTCAATAAAAATCTTTTAGAAATTCATTTGCATAATGCAGTCAAAAGGGCAAACGCTGAACCTCGGATCGTAAGTTCGTTCGTTTGGTTTTCCTGTCACCAGAAAAACAGTGCCCGAGCGAAGTAGAGGCCAGGTGAGGGCATCAGAAACACAGCCAAGCAACATCAAAAAGACAACAACTGCAGCAAATACTGTGGCACGCATGTTTGTTTCCTTCGAAACGCTTCCATTGATATACGCAAGGGCGGCTGGCAGGAGGAGGCAAGGGCCGGCGGGGGCAGTGGTAGGGGGTAGGGTCACATTCAGGGGTGCATATCATTAGCGCTTAAAAAACTGGCATACATTTTCCGACAGACACTTTTTTCTTTGTTTTTATATCACACACACACACACACACGCACACACACATCAAAGGCCAATCAACTTCCAACTCTTCCAACTCGCATTTAAAGTGCGTCTTATCGGAAACGGAAGTTCACCCTTAACCCCTTTTCACTTAGCCAATGCACAAACCCCAACGCGGCGGGCCGAGCTGTGAGTAGCGAGGTGAGTATTTACGGACGTAGTGCTATAAAAATGCTAGCAATTCTTTATAGAGGTGAAAACTATGGAGGTATTCTAAAAATAAGAACACATGAGATTTTAGCTAAGACGAAGTCTAGTTAGGAAATGTCTCAAATCGAACAAATAAAGAAGATACTTATGCTAGCTTAGATTTTGAAAACTTTCGATTTGAAATTGTGAATGTTTTATTATAATATTATTAAATGTAGTAATATTATTTATATGTAGCTGAATAATTTAAAACAAACAAATTTTTGGCTAATATTTTTTAGCATCATTATAGCTCAATAATAATAAAATAATTGCATATGGCTTTGATCGTTTGAAGATCTCGTACTTATATGTGTATTAAAGCCTTTGTTTACTGGATTTCACTTTGGGGCTTACGAAAAAAATTGTATTGCAAAAGTATACAGAATTATCCATTCGACGGAATTCGAATTATCCCTTCGAGTTTTCACTATATATTTTCACAGAATCAAGGCATATCCTGTTCGAAAACGATGTCAATATATCCATTTAAAGCAAATAAAATAAATAGTATCGTAAAATTTTATTTTTGTTTGATTAAAAGAAATTTGAACAACCATTGTTTAGCTATAATATTTTAAATCAAACTCTCTTCACTTCCACATTCATATTCTACCTTTTAGTTCTGTTACACTAAACATATTTTATATAAGCAACATACACCTCTCTCTCTCTCTCTCTCTCTCTCTCTCTCTCTCTCTCTCTCTCTCTCTGCTCATGCAATACAAAATGATATGCATGCCATTCGCTCTTTCCATTTCGATTTAACTGCAGCGATTTCTGTCACTTCAGCTGCAGTTGGCAATTCTCTGACTATCTGGCTTCATCGGCTTCATCTGCTCCATCGGCTGCAGCAGTCATAAAGGTGCTTTTCGAATTGCATAATTTGGACAACGCCTTTTAATTGAAACATAAACGCCATTTTTATTGCGCAAACGCACGCGCCAATGATTGAGGCATTTTATTTACCGTAAAAAAAACCAGAAGAAGAAGCAGCAGCAGCAGCAGCGGCGCAATTTGCGCAGAAATTGCAAATCGCCCATAAGACATAAATGAAATTTTTATAATCGAAACGAGACGCTGACGGAGGTCGCCACCGGTTGCGCATACGCCGAATTTTTTACTCTCTTGATTTTAACTGTTATTGTTATTATTAAGTTTTTTGTTCGTATTTTCGTTTTCTTTTTTTTGTGTTTTTGTTTCTGTTTTCTTTTTCGGGCCAGTGACAGCACATGAGTTGCCGACAAAGCCACGTTTTGACGCCTTAACGTGACAACGCTGGCCAGTCTCGGCGTTTGAGTCAAGGATAACGCGCTTTGATCTTCGTCTTGACGGCGACTTTGAGATACGGTCCGGCGGGGGTGTAGCACGTGCACGGCAGTGCCTCTCCTCTGGGGACGATGCTATCATTGCGGCCGACTGCTTTCTTTAATAAGCAGCCCAGCAAAAACTTGGCCGCAAAGGAACGGACAAAAACAAAAACAAAAAAAACAAAAGACTTAAGACACAAACGCGTTTTCGTAGAAGCCCCTTCGCCTGTGCGATGCTTTACACCTGATAACCACGACAACGCACTCATTGAGACCGGCACAGGACTGCAACGTTGACGTCGACTGCAACGCCAACTGCGACGGCGACGGCGACAGCGACTGAGCTATGCTGTTGTGATGTAATCAGGCTGTGCGTCTCCTGCTGCTGCTGCTGCTGCTGCTGTTGCTGCTCGCTTCTGCGATTTGCCGTACGTGATATTGTTAAAAGCTTTTAATTGAAGTCATCTTCTTGCTGAAAAAAAACAGGTAGCTGCCTCTAGAGTTGTCTGCTGCTGCTGCGGCTGCTGCTGCTGTCGATGTCGAGCATTTTTATGATTAAACTAATTTTTCTTGGCCGCAAAGTCTTATAGCAGGTGATGTGGCTCCAGTTCCCTCCGCCAGCCAAGTTATTTTAATAAACTGCGCGACGTGCCACGCATTTTGAAAGACGATCGGTTTCAATTTTATTATTGTTGTGGCTGCCTCCGCTGCTTCTAGATTATTTCCAGCACTTGTAAGTGTTGTTAGAAGGGAGTGCCAACCAGCCAACCAGCCAACTGGCTGACCAGGCCAGACCAGAGCAGACCAGGCCAGACCAGGCAACGTGCTCATTTAACAGTAGCCAGCGTACGTCGCTCATAATAACTTAAGCCAGCATAAAATATTTTAATGATAGACATAATAGCCAGTACCAGGAGCTGAGCAAGCGCCGGCTTAAATACAGCAAGAAAATAAACATAAACAAAACATTAGGACAAATATTACCAGCTGAGGAATGAACGAGCACAGATATATAAATGCATATGCAAAGAGAACTCATTTCCTGTAACGTAGAATTGAAAGATTGCGGAATCAGAATATGCTCAGATCACTGCGAAGTCAATTTATGACAGATAACTTAACATCATTGAAGTCTACCTTATATATCATCAATGAATTCTTAAGACTCCTGAGGTTTATAAATTATTTGGATTTCCATATCAAGCGCGATATGAAACTCTTCTGATATAAGACTCTGTAGACCTGCCCGAAATACCCCACATTATATATAAACCCCACATTAGCTCTTGGAATAGGTTTAAACTGACTACCATTACCATAAGCCCAACATGATTTTATGCCACCTTCAACTGTAAGATGCCCATAACTTCTTTATCCCTGTACTTATAAGTCAATTTACAACAAGCTAAGCAACTGCCACAGTTGCTGCAGGACTTTTTCATATGCGTAATGCATATAATTTGCAAGCCAAGCAGGAAAAAGAGGAGGGGGAGGAGTGTGGGGCAGAGGAGCAGCAAAAGGAGGGTGGCCAACCCAGAAGGCACTTAAATAAAGTTGTGAAGTAGCGCATAAAATAAATAACAGACACTTGACCACTGCTACGACTCACTCGATTAAAATCAATGAAAATTTATACATACATCTCTCCAATGCATTGGAATGGTTAGCTAGCCAGGAGCAGCAGCAGCATCGAAAGGCATGACTCGCTTCCAAATAGTTGATGCAGAACGGCAAGATGTGAGCCGCGAGATGCGAGATGCGAGCTACGAGATACGAGTCATAACTATGTGTAAGACCATTTCATTTTTCAACAATTGGCCAAAAGAACGCCTCAATAACAAAACAGAAGAAAAAGCCAGGGAAGTGCATTGCAGTTGGGCATAAATGACTGCATGATACTCGTTCAAGACTCGAGAAAAGCTGAATTTAATTGGGTGAGGGATATACAAAGAGCCAAGAGGGAAAATCATGTGAATTTTGTTCTTTATATAGAGAAGGTGGGCAGGTACTATCGAGAGATTTACTTATATAATTTTAAAATCTAGTACATATATAATAATATATAGAAGGTGTCCTCAGTTACATAGTTGCCAAGTCCAAGGGGCCTAACTTAAAATCTGTGGAATATGTCAATTGGCCTTCTCCCTTCAGGCCAAGTATAAATAGGAATATAGATATATACAAAATATGAAATCGTGACAGACGAAGGAACATCAGATCGAATTCTATATCCTCTCAGATCAATATACCTCTCRTATATACATATACATATACTTACAACAAATTGGAAACTCTTTATCAGCCCGCAGATCCGCAGAGCTTCCGCTCAGCCATTCAAAAGGCAACAATATATAAAAACCAATAGACTCTCTTCACTTCACGAACAAGAATAAAAAAGGGGGGCGTACGCTGTTTTTGGCGGACAGAGCAAAAGTAATGAGCAGTTGGCCACGCGCTAACCAAAAAGCATTCATGAATCCAAATGCGAATGCGAATGTGAATGTGAATGCAAAACGCCCGCCAGGCAAGAGCAAAAGGAGCACAAGGAGCAGGAGGAGCAGCCAGGCAGGCAAGCCTGCAACAGGCTGCTTGAGCTGCACTCGAGTCTATAATTATAATTGAAATCAATTGATTTATTTGCGTTGCCAGCTCGCGAGCTCTGCCTATGCCAAAACGCATAAAGCCATAAAGAAAAATGGCAACAATACAATTCAAGAACTGTTTGTTGTTGTTGTTCTCGTTGTTGTTTGTTGATCGTGTGTGCTTAATTGTTGTTACTGGCCTGTGACTGTGGTCTGGCCAATGTGCGCCGCTGGCCAATTTGCTTGGCAGGCTAGACGTTGTCGTCGTTGGCGAAGACGTCGATAAGGTCATGAGCAAGTGTCAATCGAGTGCATAAATTATTTATTGGGGCGTTTGCACAAGTGGGTGGGGTCCAAAAATAAATGTTGCACAGCATCGTTGGCGCTGTGCTCGAAGGGCAACGTGATGGAGCATAGCTTATATACCCAGCCATGCGCCAAAGGCGAGACAATCTATTATGTTCCGAATGGGCATAGCATGGCATATATGAATACCGTTTACATACACATATATATCTTATACTATATGTGTATGTATGTGTGTATATCTGGGTTGGCTGATTCCTGGCAATCTGTACGATCTGCCGCTTGCACCTGCCCACAAAATACACTTGTGCGCGCTGTTGTCAACGACAGTAGCTCTAGCTATATACAAAACAACAGCACACACACACACACACACACACACACACACACATAGAGAGAGAGACAACAACCTTTTGTGGCCATAAGACAGGCACACACACAACCTGTCTCACATTTCAAAATACATAATTAAGTATGCACAGCGAGTTTGTTAGATAAAAATCTTAAAAACCCTTAAAAAGCTTTAAGCGCCTAAGACACAGACACAAATACGCAAACTGAAAGAGAAGAGCAAGAAGAAGAAGAAGAACGGCTAGCAGCAGCAGCATAGGGGCAATACTTGATGGATAACTTGATGAGTATCGGATAAGTTGTGGGGACTTTGTAGCACAGCACAAATGTGAGGCGCGTATACATAAAAATAGTCGAAAGGCCGAGCAGCAGCAGCAGCAGCGACAGCGACAGCAGCAATAACAATAACAACAAGCGACACGTAGTCGATGTATGATACGAAAACACTTTGGCGACAATCATGGGAAAGATTCGGTTTTTTGACTTGATTTTCAGTTTGCTTTGGTTTCGTTGGGTTTTATGTTGTGGCTATCAGTTGATTTGGTTTTTTTTTTTTAAGCATAGCCGCGCACGGCCATTAAACGAACAGGGCCCAAGAGGTCAGAGCGATAACGAGCGAAAGCTAAAGGCGGTTCAGGCTAGCTGCTGGTGCAGGTGGTGCCGGTGGTGCCGATAGTGCCAGTGCCAGTGCCAGTCGGTGGTGTGGGCTATTATCGTTTAACGAAGCCGATTTGTAACAGAGCTTTCACATGTGTCTCCAAATCGAAAACCGAAGAAGAAAAAAACAAGAAACTTGGCCAGCCAATCAGTTAAAAGTTATAACGCAAATCAAAGCAACAACAAGAACCAGCAACAATAACAACAACAACAACAATAGAAATCAATAAAGTTCCCAATGCCAAATGAAACAGAGAGAAGAAACTTAATTAAAAGGTCGCCGTTAATGTGGTTAATTTGAAAATATTGTCGAAGGAAACGGCTTACACACACACACGCACACACACACATACACATATAGTATGGACATATACAAAAGAGTTTGCGTTATAAAATCTTTCGTAGAGAAACGCCAATAAAATACGGCAGCAGCGGCAGCAGTCGTCGACGCAGCTAATTTTTATAGTTCCCCTCATGCAGGCTGCAGCGCCGACAGACATCTCGGCGGGATCTGTTCGATGGTTGCTCTAATCAAGCCTATAAGCCATGTTGTCATACGCTATAAAAGAAAAAGAGCAACACAGCACACAGACACACACACATGCAAAAGAAATTAAAAACAAAACACAAATCGGCTCTTAACGTCTGACAACAAGTTCGTTGCCTAAGTCTTTTGTTTGGCCGCTGCTCTAAATTATTTGCTTTTCATTTTACACGGCTAGTATTCAAATAGCTACTATATTTGTAGACATATATACATATATACTGTTTACTGTTTATCGTATAGTATATATACTGTTTACTCGCTTGATATGCCAAGTTTCTTACCTACGTCATTCAATTGCAATTGAACTTTGCTCTGAATTACATTTTAATTGATATATATTTTTAAATAAAAATATTTATATAACTTGTATTTAAATATATGAGTAATCAGAAAACGTAATTTAAAACCAAGCTGGTTGCCCGACTTATTTGTTTACAGTTAATCCAAATACATTAGCTTTATATAACTCATTTCAGAGTGTTTTCTGTATTCATATATATGTGTGTGATATATTACTCTCCATATAATTAGAGTAAATCGAATGATTTGTGTGATGTTTATGCCAAGTTCGTTGTCTCAGTCATTAGTTTGCAATTTATCTAAGTACTATAAATCAAATAGATCCTAATAATATGGAATAACCTGTATATAGACGGATAATTATAATCTATAAATAAATATAATTTAAACTATTTTCAAGTTTAAGTATATTTTAGGTATTGTTGCGTAAATCAAGTTCTTTGCCTAAGTCATTTGCCGAAAATGATTTTTAAGTACTTGGCTCTAAATCAAATCAATAACAATATAAACATATATACATAAATATACGGAGAAATATAATATGCTAATGTGCATAAGAAATAATCTATACATCAAATATATGCTTTAATAAAGTTCGTTGCCTAAGTCTTTGGTATGGTAAAAACAATTATATGAAGCTTTAAATTATATTGATAGTATTTATGTATTAATACACATACATTTATAACTTGTATTACATATTTATAAATTAACTTATCTCTGTCATAAATAATTTGGTTTTGTGGCCAATGGCCTTACGAAAATTTCACTGAATTTTCAATGTGACAACGGCGATTTCCTCAATCAAAACGAAGGCAATGCAGKGGCTAAGAGAGCTCGAAACAAACTTGAAATACACAATAATGTAATAATAATAATGCATATAATGCATATAAAGAGAAAAGACTAACAACAAATACAACAGGCGGGCGAAGAAGAAGCAGCTGAAGAAGGGGGAGGGTCGATTGCTGCGTGGCCTCCGTTGGGTTTTTGGTACGCCCGAATGGCGATGCACGCACACTAACACACACACACACACGCACGCACAGGCAATGTAACTTCAACCTTCAATTGTAGTTGGTGTTGCTGGTGTTGTTGTTGTTGTTGGTAGTTGTGCTGCTGCCTGTCACGAAACGTTATTCGTGCGGCCATGCGAGTTCACTGACTGCCGCCCAAGTGCGCCAGTGTGTGCGTGTGTGTGAGTGTGTGTGTGTGTGTGTGTCTTTTGGTGCTTTTCATATGTACACATTGTATATATTGTTGGGCCGTTCGCTTTGTTTTCACAGCAACGGCAACCGACAATTACAACTAACCATGGCGGCCATATTAACATGCCTGCGAGTACAGTTTGCACCTGCAGCTACGTCAAAATCGTTAAACTTTAACGACAACAACAACAACAACAAACCAGATTCTATTGTCGACCATTTGCACGTGATTGAATCGATGTATCCCAATTAAACAATCTGCTCACGAACGCTCAACTACAAGAACGCCAACAAGCTGAGACGCGCAGCGTCTCCCTGGGAGCCAGCCGGGGGCAGGGGGAGAGCAGCGTTGGTAGTTTAGAAAAAAATTTCCAAACTATGCGAGTGCTAATTGCCTGTGTGCACAATAATATTTTGGCAATTTGCCTGCAACAACAACAACAACAGCAGCAACAATAACAACAGCAACATTCATGGCCAGCAAACAACAACAATGAGTCATGCTATTTGTATTGATGGCAACAAATATTTCGCATGCTCATTGATTGCGCCCACCCACCAAATGCTCTCCCTACCTCTCTCTACTCTCTCTCTCTCTCTCTCTCTCTCATCTTCTTCTTTCTGCTCGTTGTTTTATTGCTTTAAATGTTTAAATATAGTAATCAGTGAAAGAAAAGCTTGAAGAAACATGCGGCTCGTTGTTGTTTAATTGCCGCAGCTCATGCAAGTGCCGCCAGGCAGGAAGGTGTGTGAGAAAACTGCACATCAAATTGTTGTTGTTGTTGTTTTGGCTGCTGTTGTTGGTGTGCAATTAAAAATAATATATGTATGTACCTATGCTGTATGTATGGATTAGCTGCCGCAAATGCACACACAAACACACACACAAGCACAAAAAATAAATTCATTAGCTATTGTCTAATTGGCGCATATAACGAAGGCATTTTAAACGGAAAAACATATCTATAAAATCGTGTACATATGGATGTATTTATGGATGTAAAGATGTGCAATTTCAACTAGAAATTCAAGGCCCGAAAATTTTCTCTGTAAATAAACTCTGTTAGACTAACATTTTTAGGGCAATATTTATTGCGCTAATTTTATATATAATTTAAATTAAAAATCTTACAGCAAACCATTGGAGAACACTCCTTAAGAGCAAGCTATATGACATATCACTTTATAAATTATATAGTATATACTAATTATCTAGATTCTACATGCTTGCACCTAGAAAAAAATAATCTTCATTTTTATTTATTTATATGTTAAAATAATCTGAATATCTCTATTCGTTTCAATGCTATGAGCAGTTGAAATTTTGATTCGATGGTTGATCGAAAAAGCTGTGAGCCACTGTATATGTGTGTATATATAAAAATCAATACTTTATTTTTTTATTTTTATATTTTATTTGCAATCTGCTTTCATGTCAATAATAAACTAACTTTTTAAAATTAGTGCTCTGAGTTCCAATAAGCGTTATCCATATAGTATATATAAATCTATAGCAAATTCCATTTCAAGTTTCTTTAGCTATTTCTTCTACTCTAAAGTCTGTACAAGAGTTTCCATAAACGCAACATTTACTAGATTAACACATGTACCTTACTTTCAGCTAATACTCACATAATTTATACATCAACAGACTTACATCAATGAAGATCCCTTTTACCTTTTATGCTCAATCAACAACTGAAATCTCCTTGTGCAATAGCATTGATTGATGACTTCCTTTAGATGCGCTTTACTGCCAGCCTGGCCTATTCAAAACTAATTAACACCAGTGTTGGCCGTTTTATGAGCGGGCATTAAAAATGCAAAGTTCCCGACTCGCCCGCAACTTTTACGACCCCGCCATGATGCGGCGCTGCAACAAATTGTGCCGCCTGCAACTGAGCGCCCACAAATCTGATCGCGGCGATGCACCGCCGATAATGTCAGTCTCTCTGATTTAGAACAGGCGTAACTCAAGTGTTAATCTCCAGCTTAATGTGCGAAAAATGCGCAAAACATTGTTGAGAGTGAGAGAGAGAGAGAGAGAGAGAGAGAGATCCGTGTGGCCAATAAAACGAATTTTATATTCAATTTGAGCTGCTGCAAATCAAATCAAAAGATTCTCGGATCGTGTGGCCAGTTTTAATGGTACAGGTTGCCCCCTAATTAATATGCATGAACTCAAACTTCCTCTGCCCGGGCTACCACTTGTGCACGTTTCATCGCTCAGCTCAGATCTCTGCTTGCACACTCTTCCTCTTCTTGTTTATGCGTATCTTTGGCATGGCATTTTAATGCTCTTTTATGATCCGCTGGATGAAGGCGTCGCGCGTTTAGAACTCAATTAAAAAGCGGAAGTTAGTGCAGCTCTGGGAGCCTTCAATGGCTCAGATGAACGCTGCCTCGTCCACGCCCTTGACAGACATTCCGATGGCATAAATCGGCGCAAACCAGCAACCAGACGCACATAACTCACTAATAGCAGCAATTGTTGTCAATTTGCCACAAAACAGGCGCGAAAATGCAGACATATTTTTTTTATTTTTGCTGCCTTGCCTTGCCGTTATTGTTGTTGTTGTTGTTGGCTAACACACCTTGACAATTGGCTGAATTTAAATTGTTATAAAAATAGAATTTGTCCCAAAACACGCGCCATCGACAATGCAGTCGCTTGGCAAGTTCGTGTCTTAAGTCTTTCGTTTGTCTTTTTTCTCCATTTTCTGTTTTGGTTTTATTTTGGGAGACAACGAAAGCTAGCGCTGCACTTTAATAACCGACCCACCCGTCTACGCCTGCCTGCCTGCATGCAAAATACCATTAACAGCAACAACAACAACAACTGCTAAATATCATAAAATGTGTACCACGCACAAAGGTCTTAGCTCACAGAGCTCGCGGCATTTTCAGCGTCTCGTGTACTAAAGTTTTGAATTTATTTATGTCGGCAATTATTTTATTTATATTGTGCACACACACAGACACACACACACAGCACACACTCATGCACGCACACGTACGAATCAGAGATTTTGCATTGCCTTCTGATTTCGTAGTCAAAATATGTTTCCAACTTATGATATGCTGCCCGCTTCTGTTGTCGCATTTGCTACTGGTTTTTAATGCGGCGCAACTGACGACGACGGCGATGGCGACGGCGACGACAGCGACAGCAGCAACAAAGGCGACGACGCGTCACTGACAAAGTGACACACGATCTGCTGCCGAGAGGCAAATGTGGCAGTTTATAGAACTTTAATATGGATATAGAGCAAGGGCTTTCAGCTGAGCAGGGGCATATTCTAATTGTTTTCTACCTGAATATATTTTATACTCACACATATATATATTTAATATGACCTATTTTATTTGGAATATTTATTTGCTTGCATTTATTGTGATTTTAGAGAAATACTTTCTAATAATCTTAAGCTTGTTTATTCAATAAAAAATCTTCATTTATTTTTGTTTGCCAATAGAAAGTTTTGTATTAGGTTTTATGACATTATCTCCTTCTCTCTTACGCTTTTCGCGCTACTCCTCTCCCTCTCCCCCTACCTTCCACCTTCTCGCCCACCTTCTCTCTCCACCATTATATGCCTTTAGCTTTTCCTGCTCCTTCTGCCACACTCCCTGCCGCACCCCTCTTAACTCTTCCTCTTGCTTTTCTGGCCAGTCTCTGTCGCCTCGACTTGCATTGACGCCTCCGCAAATGTCAACAACAACAAGAAYAACGGATGACAGACAAGGGACGAGGCTGTTGCTGACGCTGACGTTGCGACGACAACAGCAACAACAACAACAGCAACGAGAACCACGTCAACCACGTCTCGCAACTGTCACCAAATAATGCCCAGTCAGCAAAAGTAAGCAACAAAATTGCCTACAGGCAGCGCCGTGTTAACCAGACAACAGTAGCCCGGATTCGCGCTCGGACTCTGGCTGCGGCTGCGAACTGGGGCCCAGTGTTAGCAGCAGCAGTAAACAGCAACAGCAACAAATAAATTTTTGAAGCGAAACGCCAAAATAAAAAAAAACTCACAAAATCGCATTTCAAATTCAAAACGCGATTTTTGCCGAGGTTAAACTATTTTATCATTGTCACAAATGGAATTTTTCACCAGCAATCACCTCGAACCGCCGATCCACCTGCCAACCCTTCTTGTCTCTCTCTCTCTCTCTGCCGCCCCGCGGCCACGCCCCCTCCCTTCATGCAGTGGCCACCGTTTGGCAATGCGTGCGAAAACGCAGCAACCAACAACAACAATCAGAACAACAACAACCAGAACAGCAACAACAACCACAACAACAGCAAGAAAGCGATCGATGTACGTTTTAGGGCGTTTTCTGGCCACGGTTTTCTTCTGGCCTCCTCATAAGTTTTGCGTATGCAGACAAAGAGACGCGAGCAGCAGACGAAGTGGAACTTGGTTTATATCTCTTCATTTACTGGCCCTGTCCAGTTATTTATTGTATTTTACGTTGCTGCTGCTGCTGCTGCTGCTGCCGTGTGTGTTGCTGTTTAATTGAAGGCCAAGAGTTGCCGCTGCATTGCTGCATGCATGGCAAGCATGTCCTGGTTGCAATCGCAGCTGATGGCCATTGGCCAGACATGCCCTTATTTGCGCTGCCAGCCAAAACGGCCAGTGCATAAATTATATGAAAACAACATTTTATATACCCTTGACACAAGTGAAATATCTATAGCTTACTTATCATGTGTGTAATGCCCAAGGCCAGGCCGTGCCAAAAAAAAAAAAAAAAAAAAAAAAAACAGCTCAGACAGACACTAGAGATTAAGAAACCTAATCTCTGATTGCAAGTGGAGATAAGCGATGACTATATGACGTTAAGCTGCTATAAGGGGCTTATAACATATTTATTTAAAATAAAAGAAAATATTACATGTGCAATTCAACCAAAATAAGATGTAAGTAATGATCAAATAATAATAAATCGAGACTGCTCGACTACGAAATCCCCTGAGCCCTACGAGGAACTGATATATCAATAATTCTTCGCGTCTTTTGCGATTAAAATTAAAAATCTTAAAAAAAAAAATTAACTATAATTTCAGAGCAAACTATTCAAAACTATTTGAGTATATAGCATACCTCTATTTTATACATATGTAATAAGTATTATGTGTATATAAGTTATATATGCAAGTCCTTACGAATTTTAATGTCAGACAAAAATTGTTCGAGTCAAGCTAAGTTATCAAAAATATGATAAAAATTTAATAAAATAATAAAGATTTTATAATATGTATAGACAAATCGCCCAACCAATAGTTAAACTTCTTTACCAAAATATTTTATTTTTTTTTATATATTATTTTAAAGTGTGCTGCCCACCTCTTCGAAAAAGGAAGTAGAGTTAATTACATATGAAATTTGCCTTTACTTAACTATTCACAATCGATTCAAGTCATAAAACTCAGCTTCATCTGCATTTCTGCCTAATCCATCAATAGTTATGCAAATTGGCAAATCAAAATAAATTCAGATAAAGGAAACTGTATAAATGATGTTTTATCCACATTTCGTCTGACATTTGTTGCTGCCAGCGAGCTGTGACTCAAGTGAAGGAAATGCTTACATATAGAACTACAAGTATATATGTATATATTCTATATACTCTATATATATCCATGATTGGAGCACAACTTGCGCAATGGCTGTTGGGCACATTTTGAATATGTAGCAATTGTTTTGACATCCATAAAACATGCGCTCGATTGGCCTCTTTAGGCAACGTCGCTCTAGATCATGCAAATCGCATCCGAAATCAATTAAAATGCAACAGCCGCTCGATAATCAAACTTGGAATCGACTCAACTGGCTACCTGGCGGTGCCAAATATGTCGTYGTCGTCTCCGTCGTCGGTCGTTGTTGTTGTTTTTTATCCCCAATCGGGGCAGCGCCTCCTTCTCCTGCTCTGATAACAATCGGGGTACTCTGACACTTATATAAGCAGTCAGCATCCGACCCGAGTGACAGACATCGATCAATGATGCGACCAGCGACATTAACGCTGCATATATTGTCATAAATTACACGATAGAGTCCAACCGAATACTCTCCTGCCCTCCAAGTTGGGCCCGTCGAGCCCTTAGTGTGCTCCGAGCAAMGATGCTCCCATGTGCAGCTGTTGTTGTTGTTGTTGTTGTCGTATATGTTTGTTAAACGATAAGCCCAAAAGTCATCGGCATTTAAACCAAAAGCAGTTGTCGCTGCTGCTGCTAATGCTGCTGCTACTGCGCTGCTTCGGCTACCATCCAACACCCCAAAGACTTAACCATATCCACATCAAATCCACATCCCCATCCCCAGAGCGTTTCAGATACGCATCAACGTTTGGCTAAACGCTATCCAGTTTTGGGATTTTTCTCCTTTTCATTTTCATTTTCAGCGAGTTTCTTTTTCTTTGTTTCGTCTGCCCCCTCCCGCACGCCCAACTGCAAACTCTCCCCAACGCTGATCGATATGTTAAAAACTGCGATTAAATGCGTCTGCATCTGCGTCTGCTTCGCTGCTTGGAAGTTGTGACAAAACTTTGATTGACATGGCTTTTGTATGTTGGCAACAGCAGCAGCAACAACAACAACAACAGCAACAACAACAGCAGCAACAGCAGCAGATCCGATTGCAAGCAACTGCAACTGAAGATGTGACAACAATAACAACTTGGGTTGGGGCAAAGGTTTGAAAGATGAGGCAATTGTTGCAGCTGTACAAGAACGAACAACAACAAAAAATTCTACTAGATTCTATCTCCATGCTGACGCGTCGCTAGCTCCAATTGCAGCGGAAATTTCCAAGTATATTGTTATGAAATACCTCTTCGAACTTCTCATAATGATGGATAGTGAGACAAACTAAAGTGTATACTTAAATGTGCTCTAGAAAGTATGCTATAGCGATTGTTGAAGCTGATCTTAAAAAAAATTCAAATGCGCACCCAAAAACTCTATACGAAAACGATATTCAAGAGGCAACAAATCCTTTCCAGAAATTATATAATGTGTATATATATATTGTATTAGAAAAAGAAATATATTTTTGGCAAAATGAATATTCATATTAAAGCAATGCCCGACGCAAACTTCCATCAGCTTTATATCGTATCATATCTTACAATCATCTTCTTTACATAGAATCAGCTCTAGTCTCTAGAAAATTTTATTCATTTATGCACAGCTCTAAACATAAATTCGCACCACAGCCTCACGGCTTGATTGTTTTCACATAAATTCGACTTCAAATGTACCCAAAAAAATAGATTAGATTAGATCTTCGTAAATATATTTAGAGCTCGAAGAAACGCATGAGTGGGCAACCTATATAAACTGTCTATTGTTGTCAGAGTTGTCAGAGAGATGCCGCTCAGCAAATCTATGCAGAGTATTCATATTATGAATATATTTTAATTTCATGCACACATCGAGAAAATCGAGAAGCAAAAAAACACAATCAACTGGCGAACAAAACAAAAGCAAACTTGGCAGGCAACAGGCATAAAAGTCGTGATACTAACAAATTTCATTAATGTACAACAGCGGCAACAAGTTGCAGGCACGGCTGGCTGGCCACAGCCTCATCCACAGCCACCGCAGCTTCATACTCATCCTCGTCTCATCCCCATTCTTATCCTGCAGCAGCCACAGCTTCAACTGCCTGCGATTCCATTCATAAAACGCGCACTAACAAGAGACAGAGAGACGAGAGCAGCTAGAGTAAGAGAGAGAGAGAGATAAACTGCTAGACTGAGTGAGACAGAGAGAGAGCTAGCGAGGGGCAGACGAGTCGGAGGAGTTGGAGGACAGACACTAAGCGCATTGCATGATTTTGCATAATTTTATGTAAATTTGAGGCGAGGCGGCTCGAAACTTTGCCTGGGCGCATCGAATCGAATGCGCGCAGGCGCAGTTGCCAGACGCTTTTAGTAGTAGACGAGGCGGGGGCGTGGCAGTGTCTCTGACTGTCGACGACATGATATATGCCACATGATGACCACGACTCGGCAGCCAGCCAATATGCGGCAAACAGTAGCAATTGCTTTTGTTGTACAAGGACACGATTATGCGCAGGATCCCAGCARACAAACAGAAAGAGAGAGAGAGAGAAAGAGATGGAGAGCAAGTGAGAGCAGGAGCGAGAGTTCAATTTATGCAAAGTGCAAAACGTGGCTTAGCTTCGGAAAAAAAAAACAGAAAACACAAAAGCTAAACAAAACAAAAGCAGCGCGCGCATTTTGATTTTTTAAACAATTTTTTGTTCATTTCTGTTTCGGCTTAAATTTAGTTTTGTATACATAAAGTAATATGAGCGGTGGAGCTGCAGCTACATATGACAATGACAATGACATGGAATTTATGTGCAACCAAATGCCACAAAATATGTTTTAGGGCATATCGAAACGGGGCTGAAGTTCCACGTAAAAAGGAGGCGAGCAAGTCAAGCCAGCGGGCCAAGAGATGCTGCAGCCCCCACACGGCAGTCAGTGGCACAGTGGAGCCAAAGTGAAGGTAAAGTAAAAAATATAAATATATCAATATGACATACGTAAATACCAAAATCAAATTGCACAATTTATATACATATATAGAAACACATAAACACATT